GTGCCAAACTGTCATCAAAAGAGCCACTTTTAGAGGGATAAAGCCTATTTGCGAGTCAAAGCATCCATTCCTCTGTAGCTCAGCAGCATTAATGGAGCAGCAGGGCTGAGAGTATAGTACCTTTAGAGTCGTTACCTATTCTACCCACCATTAGGTGAAAATTGTGTTGACTTTAAAACTACTTTCTATAAATGAAGTGAGAAGGGTGTTCAGATGTGGTTAGCATCAAGTTTTTGTCACAGTTAACCAGGGGAACTGTATAAGTTTTGTTTGGGTTTTTCACAAAGAAGCTAGCTAACATGAAAGATTATGTCCAGTGCACTCTATCATACTAGATAATGGCAGAACAGGGTGCTATCTAATATAAGTAAGTGTGCCTAGAGATGTCTCTAATGTCTGTTTCTATTTTTAAAAAGGTCAAGATCGTGTTTGTAATGCTTCATCCACACCAATCTGATAGATGATCGCTGAGTGTGGAGAAGAGAGCTTTTAAGGGTAGACGAGTAACTGTGCATTGGCAAAAGCTTCCTGGTCCATTTACAATGCATCACTTTTGAAGCTTTATAAGGTTTAATTGTTCCAAAAAACCATATTATGCCATGTATCTGGTGTGGCCTTAGAAGGACCATACTAGACAAAATAACAAACGTCTTCTTTTTCCTAACAGAACTCCTTGATTGCAGGTGGCTGCTCTGTGATCCTAACAAGCAGTCTTAGAGGCAGTGTGATGTAGCCACCTCGAAACAGGGCCTTCTCGTGGGACCTGTTACCATAGTCACTTTCCATCACACAGATTAAAAAAAAGAAATATTCTTGATCCTGACCTTGGGGAAATGCACAAACTACTCCTGCTGATGTCACTGTGGTTCTGGCCACAAGCATAGAGTTGAGAAATAAAATGTGAGCTCCTGGTATCAGCGGAGACAGGGTGGCCAATAGTAGAGACAGTGTTTCTGTACAGTGGTCATTTTGCGGCACACACAGCAACACGTGTAAAAACGACTTGTGATTTCTTTAAATTATTGGATTGTATTGCTCATCAATGCAAAGTTCTGTACTATTTTACAAACAGCTATGTATCTGTTCTACCATGTATGCCATCATGGTCAAATAGGAATGGTGATGGAGATGGAAAATCCGAGGTCTCAGATTTGAGTCTAACACTGACCCAAAGTGGGGATTCCTATCAAGCAAATAAGAAAAAATATACACCTCAAATGTCAGAATAGGGACTGAGTAGGGATAAAATTGGGTGCCAATGTACAAGCCTACATGTGAATGGGGAGTCCTGGCATCACTTCAAGCACTGGTCACAGTGCTGACAAATGCTGGTAACCCTGTAGTGCAGACTTGTTGGGCCCAGAGACTGCATAGGGTAAAAATATTTAAATCAAGAAAGTCCTTAGTTCTAAAGGGGATGGTTGTAACACTTTTTAAAGAAGTGTTGCAACCATCCCCACCCATGTCAGCCATTGTTTAGCTAGCTGTATTAGCGTAGTGGTTTGAAATTAGCAGGGGAAAATGCATCACATGTTGCCTATGAAACTACAAGTTAATCTAATATAAGTCGTACAATTTAATAGTATAGACACTAAACAAAATAGTCTTGGTCAAAACCTTTACTTTCTTACCATAAAAGTTTGTTTTTTCTCTATATATTCTTAGTGTGTCTGTTTCCAGCCTTGACAACCACCATGCCTGATCAGGGAGGAAGTAGGTAAATACTGAAAGACTCTCATGACGACATCTCATGATGTCTTATTATAATTGGTGGAATTGTTTGATTGGTTGTTATATGTTACGACCACACCTGGTCTCCGCTACCTTTGGCCATGTTTAACCCCTGTTTGAAGGGTTTTTATCCTTGCAATAGCAAATGTTTCTACATCATTTTCAATTTATATGTGCATCCTGGCTTTAAGATTAAGAATGGCTTCATCTGAAAAACATTACACACATGTATATATATACACACACACACATACACACACACACCGTTTCATGTTGACTTGTGTATCAGGTCTTCCTGTACGTCCTCTGTCCCAAAGAGACCACCTTTCTAAGCACTTATTCCCACAACGGTGCAATGGAAGATCCACCAGTGAGAATTCCCTAGAACTGGTTGCATCCCCTGCCATGTTGAACGGGACATGAAAACAACCTACAGTATTTTAAATACATCATTATCTCCCTTTTTAATTGATGATGATGCTTACAGAGGCTACAAAAAGTATTTTATGTTTTCATAGTTAGTTGTTTTTTTTTCTAGTCATTGACAATGATCGGTAGAAAACTATTAAATTAAAACAAATATCTACATATTTATTATTATATACTTGATTACAAGAATATTTGCTTCCTTTCAAAATGACACATAAAGCATCACTGATTAAACCAGTTGTTTTTAGAGTTGTAAGTTAAGTGGTGATTACCTGTAAATAATAAGTGTAGATAGTTGTGTTTTGTTTAAATAATGGAAGGCACAACTACAATGGTCAATTGTTCGATCAACTGGTAGTCTTTAGTCTTTAGTCTTATTTTATTCTTAATTTTTTATGGTTTTAATTCACATCTTTATAATGTTTATAGTCGGTTGCTAGTCTTAATTATTTTATTTATTTTTATTCCATTTCCTAATGTATAGTGTTTTATCTTCACAATATCAGCAAAGTTTTTGTGGCTGTTACTCCTGTGGTAGCGCGCATTCTGTTTAGTACATTGTAAAGTTTTGCTTGTAGTGTTTGCCAGAATCCGTGTGGGAGACTGTAAGATTAAGGTTCTATGGCTTATGAGACCAAAGTTTAACTTTTTGATAATAATAAAATCTGTTGTTTCGTGTAAGCCAAACCCTGCATATCAGCAGAAAGTACCACTCCATTCTAGCCCTAAAGGTTGGTGGTGGCAGTATCATGCTGTGGGGGATGCTTCTCTGCAGCAGGCCCCTGGAAGGCTTGTGGAAGTAAAGGGTCAAATGAAGTCTGCAGTCTACAAGACAAATGCAACTTGGGAGTAGATTACTTTTCCAGGAAGACAACAACCTTCAACCGAACACATTGGATTTGGAGTCTAGTCTACAATTTGTGGTGGAAAATTGCTGTTCACTCACAGTATACCCATGCAACTTAACAGAGCTTGAACAGTTTCACAAAGAATTGGTGAAGTCTGCAGTGTAGACTTAAGGCTGTAACTGCTTCCAGAACTGCCTCTACTCAAGCTGACTTGAAAGGAGGTGAATCCTTGTGCACTCAATTATTTTCTGTTTTATATTTGTTGATGCATTTGGATCAACTCCTAGAGATTCATGTTCACTTTTAAGATAAAAGATTTAATTTTGTTCATCAATGTCAAACAAATCCATACACATCCACTGTGGAAAAATAAGTAAACGTGAAAAGTCAGTAGTCTTTATAGGCACTGTACTCACAGTTTACAGAATGTGTTTATTATTCTTCCATAATTTGATATAAATATATAAATAACAAAAGCATACAAATTCATTTCATCAATTTTGCAAGCACAGATAATATAATTTTTTGTATTATCCCCATTTGAGACTCACCTACGGTACATACATAAACAAGGACATTGTATTTTTTTTTTTAAATGCAACAGAAAAAGGACTCAGGATAGAATATGGGAGCTCGAGAGGCACCTAAATACCAGTCCTTATTTTATCACCCTGGTATCTGCCATCTGTCCCATCGACACGTCTCCTCTTATACAACAAAGTAACAAATTGGACTGGAAACGTTTTATTGACCATAATTCATTCATGAAGGCTCTTCCTATGCGCTGAGATGTGACTGCGCTGGGGGGGACAATTAATTGGCTTGTGAGAGGAGATGTCAGACATGAAGAATTGCCCTTTGCAATGGCAGCTTTACAGCTACTCCTACAGTTATACACAACTGTATTATTCTGTAATAAACTCATGAAATTATACATGTGCAATTATTTGCTAGCATATTGTTTGCGTGTTGATAGTTGGCTGCACAGGTAATGCATTCAGTTCAATTCATCAATCCTAAAAAAGTACAGAGTCTTGTTGCTCTAAGCATTAAATTCATAGTACATGAAAGAGGGTGACATAATGACCAATTACAGTTTAATCTATTACAGTTTCATGAGTGCTTTGGTTGTTCATTCTGGTGTGGGATTTGAATTATTAACAGTTGCGATCTCAGTTGCACCAGAAATTGTCATTTCCAGCTCTAGTCAGTAGAGGGGAGTGTTGTAATATGGATGTTCATTCATGAAGTCATATCCCCTCAATGGGATTCATTCAGCAAATCTCTGATGATATGCTGCATTGTGTTGTACTATCTTTTGTACTTTATTTGAAATAATTTAATATGATATCACAGTCCTATAGGGTGTATGTATTAATTAAATATTGTTTCATAACTCAAAAAAAAGGTAAAAACTCAAATTTCCATGTTCATTTCTTTCATGATCAGGCATCAGCCTACAGTGTGGTTTATGACAGCAGATTTTGTGTGGGTGTTGTCTGTATAAACTGTGTTTGCAATGAGGGTGTTAATTTAAGTTGCTGTGAAGTTTCCAAGTAACAGTTACCAAGGCAAGTAGGAAAACACAACATGCTCTTGACCTCATTGATTCAATCCTGCTAAGTTTTGACGCAGATATTCTACATTTGATTTGATAATTTCACGGACTATCTTTAACAATTGAACATTGAGTCTAATCAATGTTCAGAAATGAGTGTCACTTCATTTATTTTCCTTGGAGGTGTAAACAGCATGGACACATTTGAGAAACTAAGTTTGTATTCCACTTCATTTTTAGTATTGAACTGTGTGGAGCTATGTCTTTACACAGCCGCTCATTTTACAGTCGCTCTCTCCACAGTAATCCTCACTAATTAGCCTACCTCTATGCCTGTATGTGTTTCCCTGTGTGGAACTTGCTAAACAAGACCATCGTTTGAAACCATTCATTCAACTCCGCTCTCTCTCCAGCTGCTGTCATGGCAACCATGTATGACTGGCAGAAAACAGACTGCAGTCTCAGAGCTCCAGTCAACCTAGACGATTTGGAGCATGAACACACTCCTATGGGTAGATGAAGAGTTGTGATACCAAGACACCAGGGCAGCCGCAGACTGTGAGGTGAGTCATAAAGGTGCTGAGGTTAACTGGCATGCTGTTCACGCTCATGTGATTGATTCTGGACCACAATATTAATGCAAAATGATACACCATTAAAATGTGTGTGATTCTGTGGTGGGGGGCTTGTGGCATTGCAACTGTGTTTAATGTTTAATGTCTTAACAGTCCCATGATGCAGCATCTGGCATACCAACCCCTGCTTCCTACTGGAAACAAATATCTGCAGCAGAAGTGGGACAAGGCTTCATATGATTTACACAGGGGAAAGGTTAGGAGAAACATGGTTTGGCAACCAGTTAGTGTGTGTTAGAATTAGTTTTATCAGCATCCAGTACCTTATTCAAAACCCAATGGTTTTGTTTTTTTTCCAAGGTAAAGTCAGCTAAACCAACAATAAACACGACTCCACCAAAGACCTATAGTCACCTGGCTCTCAAGCTGAAGAAAGAAAAGGTTCCTTCTTTATCTTATATTTTCAACTCACATTATGTCCATAGGGGGGCAACAGATTTTTCAGTGCTGAAACCATCCAGTGACATCTGAAGTGATCAAATGCAATAATTCAAATTTTGGGAAGATTAGAAAATGTTTATTTCTAGTGTCTTAGGAAAACTCACTGTTGTGTATATATTTATATTAACATGTTATTGCATTAAGCTTGAAGAGGAATGGACAAGAAAGATTCAGAGGGAGAACAATATGCTTATGGAGAAAATATCACACATCATGAGGACAACTGGAGGAGTTGATAACAGGAACTATTATGACAGAAGAAGGTTAGTTGAGGTTGTGGCAGAACTATCAGTTTATAAGTAGGCAACTATTTGTACTGCAAAGAAGTAAGGTGGCCTTTGAAACTAAAACCCCAGTTGTAACGCCTGTCTGTACTCATCATTGTAGCCTTGGCAAGGAGAAGCGCCAGCTGGAGTTGCTCCGTATTACCAAGGACAATCAAATGATCCTTTTCCGTCTGAGCCAGTGCAGGCCTCACTATAATGTGAGGAGCTGGCATGAGGACTGGCTCAAAACTGTCAAGGTGATGGACAGCATTGCACGTTACCCACGAGGAGCAAATCTGCAAAAGGTTATATTTTTTTGTTCTTTCATAGCATTGCTGCTTTGGTTCATTTATTAAGTATAATATCTGCACTGTACTGTAATATCAGAATCACAATGACCTCCTACTGTATCATATGATCTTTATTGTATATGAAGATTTAATTTTATGTAATACCAGGGACAAGAAAAACCCATCAAGAAGCGCAGTGATTGTGATAAAGAGCAAAAGATCAGCGCTGGCCCGACCACACAGAGCCCTGCAAGCAGAGTACGAGAGTAAAGAAAACAGCAAGCAAGAAGGTACAGGAACAGAGATAAAGCTGGACAAAGCGACGTAACCTTCTGAACCAGATACACCTGAGAATCCTGGTTCTTCTACTCAAATTATAGCAGATAAACCTTCTCACAAAATATTTTCCTCTCCTGATGGATCAGAAATATCCAGCACTCACACACATAAAGCACTTGAGCAGGAGACTGCAAATCCTGCAGAAGAATAATATTTGTTCTTTTAGCAAAGTCATGTTTTACTGCACACCAAAGAGACTCTGTTAGTTCCACAGTAGCTTTGAAAAAAAACTTGACAGAGTTATTACTCCAAACAAACTGGACCTAGATACTCTATGGATATATACTTGTTGGTACTGGATTAATCTAAAATAGAGCTGTATGTTACTTTTCTGGCTGTGTACTGAAGTAAATGCATGAATACAATAGGCTACTTCCAAACAGAACTGTAATTTGTTTCTTTGATCTACAAATAAAACAATAGAAACATTAATCATATAAATGTGTATTGTTTTTATTTTTTTATACAATAATTGTACATCCAGACCATGATCCAGACACCTAGCGAAAGTGAAAAAGACAAAGCGTTAATGTGGAACTGTCTATCCAGTACGAGTTTCCTCACGGCAATTTTGCAGAACACTCGTTGCGGAAGGAAGCCGCAGATTTGATTTTACGCAGCTAGCAAGCTAGCGCGCACTGTTTTGTGCACAATTTGATACATTGTTTTGTCTGTGTTTAAGAATGAAATACTTGTGATAGTCAGAGCCGAAATTCTAAAAAAAATAAATAAAAGCAAAATGAATCTCGACAGACTTCGAAAGCGAGTACGGCAGTACATTGACCAGGTAAGAAATATGATTTCTTTCTGAGTTTCTGTGTTGCTAGCTAACGTTGCTAGCTTGAAAGCAAACCGGGCGTCAGTGGTAACACACCTTCATAGTTTGCTTGCCTGGCTAACTTAAAGCTATCACCCGGCAGGCAGCCAGCAACCTACAACAAAAATGATGCATTTGAGTGACTCGTGTCCTGTCTTTGTGTGTGTTTACAGCAACAGTATCAAAGTGCTCTGTTTTGGGCCGACAAGATAGCATCCCTTTCTCGTGGTAAGTGCCGTTAGTGCTGCAAATGATTAGCCAGCATGATAGCGCACTTAACCTGACATCTGTCACCTAAAGTTGCAATGCTAATAAAAACGTTAATAGAACTGGTGTTTGATAGGAAGAGTGTTCGTTCGTTGTTCTGTTAGACATTGCTATGCACCATCACAGCTGAGAGGAAACTTTTTTTATCAGTGGCTTGCAAGCCAACAGCTGAAGTTGTGTTGGGTAGCCTGTCAGTGATGAGTCTAACCCCTACCTTTGATTGGCATACAGAGGACCCCCAGGATATCTACTGGCTAGCTCAGTGCCTTTACTTGACCTCACAGTACCACAGAGCCTCCCATGCCCTCCGCTCACGAAAACTTGACAAGGTAAGTGCAGTTTATCTGTGAGTTGTCGATATTGTGCAAAGCTATGTGCTGGGAAGTGAGTATTATCGTTATGCGAAGCATTTGTGTGTAATTATTTGCTATGCGTTTATTTTATCAGTATAAAACCCATCACAATATAAGTAGCATATTCTCCCTTATGTCAGTCCCCAGTCTAAAACAGCGCTTGTCTTCTTGCACGCAGTTGTACGGAGCTTGTCAGTATCTTGCTGCTAGGTGCCATGTAAGTAACTGGAAAATTTATACTGTAAAACTTCTTAATCCTCTTCTACATGTTTATAAGTTGCAGAATATAAGCTAGAAAAACCTGCCAGATACTTTTATGGTTTAGATTTGCAGTATTTGTTTCTGACGGTTTTGTCTAGTATGCTGCCAAAGAGTTCCAGCAGGCCTTGGATATTCTGGATGCAGAGGAGCCAGCTAGTAAGAAGCTGTTGGACAGGAGTGGGAAAGAGGACAGCGGGACACCAGAGTCAACCAAGGATTGGGACATGTCCCCTGCCTCTGTAAGTCTGGGCTGCCACTGCAATAGTTCATGTCTGTGATTTGGGCACTCCAATTAGATTATAGAGTTTGTGTCTTATTATAGTGTCTTATTTCTGAGTGTTGCATGATCTCATTCGATTACTCAGCATTCTTCTGAAATGTTGCTTTGTAGGGAGCCTTCCCCAAACAAACCATATCACCACTCATCTCTGATCTTGAAATAGTAAAATATAAAACAGTGGTCCCCGTCTGGCGCGCACAATAATGATGCAGTGAATAGTAATGATTCTCTCTGCCCAATCAGTAGTCTGCAGTGTTGTCATGTCCTGTTTTGGTATCGCCTCAGCTCATTTAGAAACTCTGATACAAAAAAAGCAGTACAGTCGAGGCGAGTTGAGCTGGTACCATGTGGTGGAAAAGGACATTTTATTAATGTATTTGTTATTGAATGTTGTTACTGCAAATCTACAAAACAGTAAAATAAAAAATGAGTGGTCATGTGGATGGTTATTGCAAATGTATCTGTATGTATTAATGTTCTGACTTTCTACCATTTGCAGTTCCAGTTCCCACAAACACTCCCACTTGCCAAAGTACAAAAATTATATACATTCACAATTTTTAACCCTTAATTTGTATTACATTTTAGAGAATATATAAGGTTCTCAGAATGCTCAAATGCAGTGCCATATGCATTTTTTTTTCAAATATAGAAACCAAAATTAGCAGTGTTTCTTTTTCTTTAGTCTAAAAAACGTCACAATGCGTTTAATGCTCAAAATTTTTATATAATTTGATATTGAAGATTTCTTAAAAATAGTGTTAATCTTGTCTTGTTCTCGTGAAACAAATATCGTGTCTCATCTCGTCTAACTGTCTCGTCACACTCCTAGTTAAAAACTATTGAGTCTTGCTGTGGGCGTAGATATGAAGTAATAACTTTGTAATAACATTTGTGTGCAGCAGATGCGATTTTGACCAGCCATGTTAAGTAACTTTTAATGTTGACATAATGTATTCACCATGTCAAGATACAAGAATTGTTTCAAATTGCCAGTCTTGTTAATTTTGTGAATGGTGCATTAAAATGAGTAATAATATGGACATTTACAAGATACTCTGCCCTCTTTCTGTTCTCCCTATTCCCTCTCTGAAATATTTCAGGTCAACAGCTCCATCTGCCTCCTGCGGGGTAAGATCTATGATGCCATGGACAACAGACCATTGGCCACTTCCAGCTACAAAGAGGCCTTGAAACTGGATGTCTACTGCTTTGAAGCCTTTGACCTTTTAACATCCCACCACATGTTGACTGCACAGGAAGGTGAGGCTGATCTGTGGTGGTGATGTGCACTCATCATTTAATTTTCTACCGATATGTGCCATTAATTGTGATTTCAGTAACTTGTAAAATGACGGTATATGCTAAACATGTTGTTCATTTTTCAATAGAGAAAGACTTCCTTGACTCACTTCCTCTGAGTCAACAGTGCACTGAGGAAGAGCAGGAGCTGTTACACTTCCTATTTGAGAATAAGTTAAAGAAGGTAGGGGAGCTCTGCATTTAGTTTTGATTTTTATTTTATTTCACGTTTGCTCATAAATTAATTGATTGATGAAAAGATAAGGCTTGTGATTTTTCTCTTACATTTGTATACAGTTAAAGTGAATTGAAATGCAAATGCCTATTGTGGTTTTTCTGGCCTGATTTTGTCCTGACCCCTCTTCATCTGTCTGCTTTCTTTACCTTTTTCATGACTGCGTTATCTCCTTTCCCACGTACTCACATGTAAACCTTGCACCTGCCTTTTACACACATTCATTAACACACACGTATACACTCTCCTTTTCTTTCCCACTGCAGTATAACAAGCCCAGTGATTTGGTGGTGCCAGAGATGGTCAATGGTCTTCAGGACAACTTGGATGTCGTGGTGTCTCTTGCTGAGAGGCATTATTATAACTGTGATTTCAAGATGTGCTACAAACTCACATCAATGTAGGTGCCTTCAGGTTTCATCTTAGTTTGTTGTTTATTTTTGTGTGTGTGACTTTAGTGTGTGTCGAATTGTTCTGTTATTAATGTAGAGATTTGTAAGGAGCTACTCTGGAAATGTGGGGCCTACATCCATTATGTCAACCTCATATACTGTAACATCACACAACAAGAATTATTGTCAGCTGTGTACACAGTGTGTAGCTTGCTTTACTGTACAGCTTTGCCTGAAAATTACCTCAGGCAGATAAAGTGATTTGTCACTGTCCAATCATATTGGTAAAACAGGATTTCGTTGCTGCAGTTTTAAAGATTTTATGTGGTTTACATCAGTGAAACACCCACATCATACACATAAGTATTTTACGTGAAATTAAAATCAATCATAAAAAATCTATAGCAGATGTCGCTCTAGATTGTATGTTGATGAAATTATAAATCATAGGTCATATTAGGAAATGGTGAATTTAGATTTTATTACCATTGACTGATATCACACTTATCATACTTGTGTTTCCCACTAGAAAGTTAACATGACTTATTTTTCTCAGTTGTCATTTTGTATTTGCCCTGAATAAAATATGAAGTGAAGAGAGCATGCTCGGTAGTTTGGCTTAAATACAATGTGTTTTTCTTAAAAAATGCATAGATTTGAGGCCATAGATATGAAAATAATTTGGATTCCACACTATTAAAAGGTTAATACATTATTTCAGTAGTCTTAATGCAACTCTGTTTTTGTATTTCAGGGTGATGGTCAAAGACCCCTTCCATGCCAACTGTTTACCAGTTCACATAGGAACTCTGGTGGAGCTTGGAAAAGCAAATGGTAATTAATAAATATATATACTTTTGATTCACACATAAAGAATTCTTAGTTTGATTGCTTGTCCTACCCATCAATATAATGTCTAATTGGTTCATTTTGCTCAGTTTCAACCCTTTTGTGTTCTTTTTCCCCCTGCAGAGTTGTTTTACCTCTCGCACAAGCTTGTAGACTTGTATCCAAACAACCCAGTAAGTGTTGCAACTATATCACACATCTGTTTCCCTGTTGACATAATTCCCAGTATTTGATAACAAAAATAAAAACTTTTTATCAGGTATCCTGGTTTGCTGTTGGGTGCTACTATCTCATGGTTGGCCATAAAAACGAACATGCTCGGCGATACCTTAGGTATGTATGTGCACACTCAAAAGGAAGTGCATCCTGTTTGAGGCCACACTGTTGAGTGGTTATATACAGTATCTCACAAAAGTGAGTACAGCCCTCACATTATTGTAAATATGAGAAAATGTGAGGGGTGTACTCACTTTTGTGAGATTCTGTATAGGTTCAGTTATAAATATTGGGTATTGTATATTTCCTGTAGCAAAGCCACCACGTTGGAGAGGACGTATGGTCCTGCATGGATTGCCTACGGCCATTCATTTGCAGTGGAGAGTGAGCATGACCAGGCCATGGCTGCCTACTTTACTGCTGCACAGCTGATGAAAGGGTAGGTACATGGCTGACACTTCCTTGACAACTATATATGCTTTTATAAATACTAGGTAAACAGAAAGGAGCTTCAATAGAGAAAGCACATCTCTGTTGTTTGATTCACAGTTGGAGAGTAGACACAGACTATCAATCAATAAAATCCCACATTGCCACTACTGAAAGGGCTTTTAAATGTACATTTTATAGCTATGTTTGTCACATTAAATGTCAACGGGTAGATGTATAGAGGCATTTATTTTATGTATTTGTTTTATTATTTTAAGTCCTATCAACCAAAAACATCTACCAGTTGTAGATGTAGCCTTTTGCTCAGCCTACTGCTCATTTCATAGTGGTGCTGCTTGTAGTATATGGCTGAAACCATAAGTTGCTACTTCTGTCCATCTTTTTTAGTGGTCTCAGTGACAAGCGTATACATTGGCAATTCATTTTTCACACCAGTCTTTTCAAGGAACAACCTGAAAAGCATGCAAACCTGCAAAAACAAAGCGTGCTTAGGTATCAGCCTTTTCGACTGCAGGAACCTTTGTAGGGAGCTGGTAAACTAAACCAAAAAAACAAAATAATTGTGGAATTATTAATGGCTTTTAAGCATAATATACAGTATTTAAACATAATTTTTAAACATTACATCTTAAATCTTCTAAACTCAGATTTGATTAAAACACAGGATAGAGATACGTTTGGTCTTTTGTTTGATGTCTCCTGCACTCTCATCCAGGTGTCACTTACCCATGCTCTACATTGGCCTGGAGTACGGTCTAACCAACAACTCCAAGCTTGCGGAACGTTTCTTCAGCCAGGCTCTTAGTATTGCTCCAGAGGACCCATTTGTTATACACGAAGTGGCTGTGGTTGCCTTTCAAAATGGAGAGTGAGTCATGCAGCCACACAGTACACATACACACATACAGTAACACTTAGGCCTCAAGTTTTATAAATGCTGAATAAATGTTATTTGCAGCACAAACAGATGTTGGCTCACAGCGATGGTACTTGTAAAGGCTGTTTTTAACAGACTTAAGAAGTGTATTTTGGGACATAAGTGACAACAAAAATGAAGTCACGGAATGACCAATACCTTGCTTGACAAAGCTTTAAAACCTATTTTGTGTTAAATAGTTTCTGTTAGGGCAGCCCTGTTTGCAGGTATTCATTTTTGTCTCATGGCTGGCTGAAAGATTCACATGAAATTACTGTGAATTACATGACTTATAGCATCAGCTAACACATACAATTTGATGCAACAACCAGTTTGTGCAGATGTTGTGTGTGTGTATACACCGTTGTTGCGGGACTGTTATTATTGGAACTACTTACTGCTGATGGAATAGTCTACCTGAAAACAGTGTGGTTTATGTGTAATTTCTCCATGTTGTGAACACCAAAAAATATATTGGGTAGGCAGCAAAAATCTCAGACAGATATCTCAAAACTTTTACGAATCAAATCAAAAATATCAAACCGGGTACTGGCCCTTTAAAGCCAGGCAAACATCTGTATACGCACATTTGACTTTAAATGCACCTGATGTGAAGGTGAGTTGCAACAGCAGCCACACAAGGAGGCTACACAGATTACACACACTTTGATATCTGGTTTATATTTATTGAAAATTCAGATGTGCCATAAGAATGTTTTTCACATCTTCTGTTTTAGCTGGAAGACAGCGGAGAGGTTGTTTCTTGAAGCAATGGAGAAGATCAAAGCCATAGGAAATGAGGTAACTTCTTATTTATTGATAAAAAAGTATAAATGTGTGAATGATGAACATCTTGAAAACATGTGTTAAGTTAAGAGTTACTTGATGTATGCTATTTGCCTTTAAATTTAAGGTCACTGTGGACAAATGGGAGCCTTTGTTAAACAACTTGGGTCATGTGTGTCGGAAATTGAAGTAAGTTACTGTTTTACTGTGTAGTTTTCTATTTGAATGGATGGTATTGAATGGGAGAGTGGATTGCAGCTCAGCCTTTTTTGTAAAAGGCATGGTGTAATTCATGGCCTTCTTTGAGTTGGCAGATTATTTATTTACTTTGGACATAATCCTGTATTGTGAAATTGTCTTCTTGTGTGTGTGTTTGTGTGAGTTTATAAATGTATATTTAATGATCTGATGTGTGGAGCAATTAGGGTTTTTTTCTGTCATTAATTGTCTTTTTTTTGCAGTAAAGATAACCACGCACTTTCTCCATCATCAGTATGTTTTAGAAACTTGTCCAAAAGACACAGAACTCGCAGTTTTCCACCTGCAATCATGGCTGCAGGGTCGCCGCATGCCGGCTTGTTAATAACTTAGCCTATCAAATGATCAAAACAACATCCGAACTCTGTGTTCACTGTTGTTTTACCGGGTCCATGCTTGTAAAATATTCATCCATGTCCATGACTTTTTTACCAAGTGAAATCTATGCAAGTGAACACATGCCTTTTATAAGACAGATGCTACCCCCTGCCAGCGTGCCCTACACGATGTCATTGTCCATCCCGATGTTTCATTGTAGACATTGTCCGATCGCCCAACCCTAGTCATGACACCTTCATGTAACTCACCCAGAAACTCACACAATAATCAGACAGGTATCCACAGAGAAGACCTGTTTGGTTATTGTTAGACTAGATCTACGCGTACAGTACCGACTAACCTTTGCCAAAGCAATAGCAGCAGCACTTGCACTTAACTGATGTAGACACATCTATATTGCCACTTACAGTTGCAGTTAGTGATAGTGTTGCATTGCTACAGAGTGACACACATTGAGCAGAAAATATGCTGTACTTAGGAAAACTTAGCAATTTGCTTGTTTGATATTGAAAATGGTAAAAGACACAGCGGCTGTCAAAATAAAAAATCCTTCCCTGTTAGTACCCATTTCCTACAAAAGAATTTCAAAATTGCTGATGCTATACATTCCATGTCTTTAAATGGCATTCACTGACTCCACTGCCGGCCTGAAACTGCTGGCACTCTGCAAATGGGTGATAATGAGCCTGAGTGGTTGCTCTGACTGACTGTGGGTCTATTCATCAAGATATATCAGCTGTATTTGTTGTCTTTCCATCATTAAACACAGGCATGGAAAACTTTTCTTTTAATCTTCTCAGATTTAATGTTTGAAGACATATTCAGCTTTGTATATTGTGGTGTTTGTTTCTGTAGAAAGTACGACCAGGCTCTGGAGTACCACCGTCAGGCACTTGTCTTAATCCCTCAGCACGCCTCCACCTATTCTGCCATAGGATACGTGCACAGCCTCATGGGTGACTTTGAGAGTGCCATCGACTACTTTCATACGGTATAGTGTCTTTTCGTCAGTTTGTATGCGTTTTGTTTGTAGCTTAAAAAGCTTTGAGTAATGAGAACTTAGCAAGAACTATATAAAGGAGGGTTTACAACCCCTTCTGAGCATTCAAGAAAGAATAGGGGTTACCAAGGAAATCATAAGTCTAAAGGAGAACCATGTCTATTCCTGTACAGCTAGTTATCATTTAAAAACAACAAACATAAGATCAGCTATAAGACAGAACCAGTACATAGAAACACAACCAGCTGTACAAAGTTGAATGAAAATAATAATAAAATACATTACAAAATCCACTGATGTTTTTGTGGTATGGGACTGTTTTGTAATTTCATTAGTCAGAATAAACACATATTAGGTCACATGAAGAACAAAATAAATTAACCAATCACAGGTGTTGCTACAGTACATACTTTAATATCAACAAATGTGTTTTTGTAAGAAATGCTTGAAGTTGGTTTGTTTTCTTTCTCTGCAGGCACTCGGACTGAAAAGGGACGACACTTTCTCTGTGACGATGCTTGGCCACTGTATTGAGATGTATATTGGTGACACAGATGCCTATATAGGTAGGACACAGGTATACTGTAGTTTACTGAGGAGTCAGGTTTTTTTCATAATTTTATACCATGGCTTTTTATAAGGCTGGCTTGAAAAAACTGATTGATTGTTAGAAAGTCAAATCTCTACAGTCAAATTTCAGCTATAATGGTATTACTAATAATTTTTGTTCTTGTCTAATTTCCTCTTAAACTTTTCACTGACCGTAGCAGAATGTGTTTTTCTGCTTCATACTGAGGAATAAGTCCCTGTGAATTCTTGATAGCGTGTTACTGGGTTTTCCAGAGTAACTGTCTTTGGTGAAGAGATGTTATTTCTTCATTGCGTTGGCAACAGAAATATCAGTAGTAGATATCTCAAAACATTAGCAGACTAATCAAATACTATCTGCAGGACTAAATACCACAACAGGCAAAAGACTTTTTAAAACTTTGATCATCCAAAATCTTTTACGTCAAATAACTATATATAACAGAAATATCAGTTTTGAGACACTAGTGGATATTTGAAGCCTGTAAAATGATGGAAAACAATGTGTCGTCATTTGTTTCCACTAAGGTACAGACATCAATGACAAGGTGCGAGGCAGCTTGAACACTCCAGCGCTGATAAAGATGCTGAACACATCAGAGCCTGGTGACTGTCTAGCCACGCCAAGATCAGAAGACACCAGCATCACATCCTTGGAAACTCCACTGTCAAATCAGGACAAGATGATGCTGGAGACACCTCTGCGACTCTCTTTAACCCTGGAGTGTGATATGTATGAGAGTGATATGATGTTAGACACCTTGTCAGACACCAGCACGTGATCTCATCCTGTCAAGAGGTGGAACTGTCGTGGCAGCAGGTTGTCTTAGGTACACAAATCCAAGTCTGAGGACACCTATCAAACCAAAACTTTGGCACCTGTCTTCCACCAAAGGTTTCCTGTGGATTCCCTTGCTTGTGCATTAGATATGGTTGTTTTTGTAAGTGACAAAACACAACATGCCATGGTGGACATGGGTGAATTTGTATACAGCCCCTGTTGTACATCATATAAATTTCACAAGAATGCACTTTATAAGGGGAATTAAAGGGTAATTTCTGTATTTTGCAACCTGCCATGTTTTTGTGTTTATTTGTGTGTTAATTGGGAACATTTAAATTGGTCCAGTATTGAGCAAGCATGCTGACAAGGCATCAAAGTAATCCTTGCTGGCAATTGCATCCAGTCAGCTAAAATGTTTGTCTTTGCAACTGACAGGCTCAGTTGATATTATAAGTGTAAGTGACAACATTATGGAATGGATCCCAATAGAGAAATACCTGTTTAGATAGATAAATAAGAACTTTTTCGCTTAACCAAAAACAGTCGCTATTTAGCTCTTGTCAAAGCCACCAGAATTTTACCTCTCTAGTCTACCACTGCCTTGATTGGTTAGTTTGTTTGTGTAATGATCTTATCTGTCTAAAATTGTATATCTTCAGGGATCTTTTCCATAATGTCACTTACACTTCTAATATCAATCTGAGCGCTTCAGTGTACATATTTTGATGGTGCGCAGTTGCCCGCAAGGATTAGGTTACAGCCCTGCTGCTGACTGCAGTGTCACATAGACACAAAAATATGGTAAAATAAGTCCACGTCCAGGTTGAAAAATACTGAACTTAGCCTTCAACATGTGCCTTGGTTAAGTATTGGACCTTGGGTTAAGCCTGAAGACATTAGAAACCTGTCGTCTTCTGACAGTTGATTGAACAGAGCAAACACAGCCGCACACCTCACAAGACTAAAGTCACTTATTACTGCCTATGGCAGGACCCTCTGTGTCGCTGAACCTGTGGATTTACACCTTGAATAAAAGACCAGCTAAATACAAGCAGTTTTGGTGCAGACAGTTCTTGGCAATTCCTACAATAAACCATGCATTTATCTTTAAAGATGTTAGTATATGTGTTTTGTGTTAAGCAGAATAAAGTGCTTGATTTGTAATGACCACAGAACACATCATTATGGCGATGAGCCTGGAAAATGTTCTATATTGCCTTTTATTTTCTATCTACTGTCATATTGACAAAAAATTGTTGCAGCATGAGATCTTGTATACTTACAAACACATGTTCTAATAAACCACTAAATGTTTGAATTGATGATTTGAACAAACAAGACAATCATTTTACAGTGTGCTTTTAAATACTCAAGTAAATTTGTCACCAAGATTTGATGATAATTATCCTGATATTTGCTCATATAGAATATAGCTGTAAGCAATTACAAATAAGCCAAGTATTTGAATTGGTAAAGTTTTTGTGGGAAACAATGGTAGCATATTGTAGGTGTTAAGTGTTAAATGTTAATCTACCTGGCCTACAACAAACATGGTTAATTGTGATACAAGACCTTTAGTAGGCTATGGATGGAAGGGGATTTATCTCTGCAGTGAATCCAATGAAATTTGCACGTCACAGTTCCTGTGCAGCGATGCTTTAACAATAACAACGGATAATCTACCGCTTACTCCCAGCCCCTCCAGAGAAAAACATGCCAAGTGATGTAGTCCACACCACGTAGTGTGAACTGGACTGGAGCTCAGACCCTCCTCTCAAATGTCATGTTCCGGTTTAGGGGAGGGGTGAAGTCTCCCGAGCCTCGAATAATAACAACTCCTTTAGATCCGGTATTTCTCCATTTCCCCCTGGGACTTTTTTTTCCAATGGGGAGAAGCATTGATAACTTAAGGACAGATGGGCTGTACTCCGTCTAAGTCGGCCGTGATTTACAGCCAAGAAAAGGTCTGCCGGGATCTGGACACCTGCTCTACTTTTGTTCCCAGCCCGAAGAGCTCCGTGTCGACACCAGAGAGACCACGGCTATGTGTGGAGACGGGCAATGGCAGGCGAACTTTCCTCGTTGGTGAGTTTAGGCGGTCCGTTCATAAAAAAGAAAAAGCAATTTCCTGCACTTGAAACGTGGTGAAGTAGCCTACTCTACCGTGCTTTTACGCTTTTTAGTGATCCATCTTAAAGTGCTTTACTCATTGAGTGTGTGATGATTGTTTAGTAATGTAACGTTAGGGTTCTGGAAAATGGCCTGAATAATATCTAAAACCATTAAATTCCAGGAAAAGGCAGTGAAAACTGTACATTAAATTGAGCCACTGCTAAAGGAACGCCCCAGGTTTCCATTTGAAAAGTTAGTGTCGTTGACCTTCTTGCTTGTTTTCCTAAGTTCCCTGCCGAGATGTCCACGGCTGGTCAGTGAGCCAGTCCTCCTACCCTGAAACCAGGAGCTCTGCGGACAGCGTGCCTCCAGGCAACTCGTGCTGTGCAGATCAGTTCAGCATGAAGCCCCGCAGCCCGTCTCCGGACCTGCACAGTGGCACCGGGACTGCTTAACTGACTCCAACCTGCAGTTATAGCGTGGCAGTGGGATATTAATCAGAACAGGTTGAAATCGGTTTATTTTCATACCACATAGGCGACTTTGGTGTTTGGTGTTTGTTACTCACGCCTATTATTGCTTTTACGTAGGCCTATTAAGGACATTAATGCTAATATCTTTGTACTTTTAATTGATTAAAACTTAAAAAAATAAACAATTGATCTACATAGTTCATTTTATTTATCCTTTTATTTATCCTCCCCTTGACATTTGAAAAAAAGCAATACTAGACATACCCAGCGCCCCCCAATATCGCAAAGCAATTATAGCAAACATAACAAAGAATGCAGCCCCTACAGCTATTGAATTTGCGACCCTTGAACAGGATGCAGCTATAACAATATGTTCACCCCACCCTGAATTACAAATAGCCTAAAATGCAATAGACTATTAGATCAAATAATGTTGTAGTGTGATGTGTAGGCCTATGAGCTCAGATGACTGTCTAAGAAAAATCTAAAACAATTCTAAAATACCCAAAACAAAGGCAGCCAGAGAAGAGTGCATTTAACTCATGCCCATTTCACACGTCCCAGGAGGTATATGCCTGCAGAAAGCGTTGCACGATTTCAAAGCCACCTTTTAAAATTTCTCTCCGCTCGCGATATTGCAATGATCTCGCGAGAACGCAGCGACTTAACACTGGCGAGAGGGAGATGGGGAGAAATGAGGTCTGAAAAGGACCAAATGACCGTGGGCAGGGAGAAAAGCGTCGTCGAGATACAGTTTAGGGACATCCCAAAAGATCAGGAAAACACCCCTGGCAACCTCAAACAGAGAGAGGAGAAGAAAGAGGTTTTTACTAAGGTAGGTGATGGAGCGTTTGCGATGTGGCGCATTGTTTACGCTGTGTGGGAAACGGACACGGAGGAGGCATGGAGGGAGGTGGGATCATTTCAGCACCGCGGACAGCGACAGGAGTAGGATTATTGTAGGATTCACGACGAACCCGCAAATTCTCCAACCTGTCAGCTAGACCTACAACTTCATATCAGCTTAAATTTCACATTTCCCACTGACTTTATTTCATAAAATGATTTATACCGTTTGCAGCCATTGTTTGAAGAAATGTAGTAAATTCTGACTGCCAAATATTTGCACAATAATGTCAAAACGTCTAAGAGATCTGCAGGTCCTAGATCCCAAGGTCATGCCTTTAAAATGTTTATTTTGTCTGTGTTACAGTTTTGTATTCTGTTTAAGGCCTTAATATGAAATAAAAATTCTGCTTTATATTTTCCCAGAAGTATCTTTAAGGTGAACAATAAGTCAACTAGTTCAGCTGTTTCACACACATCTCTAAACTGTTTCAGTTTGTTCAAACCGTTTGTTAAGTGAAAAATATTCAAACCAAAGGCTCCATAGTTGTTTGTTTGTTTGTTTTTAATGGCTGAGCCAGTGGATGAATTGGGTCATATGCATCAGGTTACACACCTCTCCCCAAAAAGTCAGTCTAACATATTTGGAATCTTTGGAACTGGTATTCAAAATTTGGACTACGGATGCAAATTTGTATTCTTGATAATTTCCAGTATGTTTACATTCATTTTTATACTGATGTTCATTAACATGCACAGTCCCTGAGCAAAAACAAATACAATTCTTAACGTTCGAGGGTTTTAACAATGTTGCCTGCACAGCATGGGTTTGTAATGACTGGCCCATAGTCAGGTCGGGGAGGTTTAAGGAGTTATATTTGTACATTGAGTGACCCCACTTTTCTAAGCAGAGCTTTTTCCATGATGTCATTCTCTTTGTGTTTCTGTGAGATCAAGAAAAAGTGACATCCCAACAACAGATGTTAAAACCTGAACCATCCTTTTTGCAGAAATGCATTATTACTTGCACTACCCACAAGGTTTGTCCACCTGAACTGAAAAGATAACATATAAATTATTGATCACAGGTGGTGATTCGAAGGCTTCCCCCTAACCTGTCAAAGGACCAGCTAGAAGAACATCTCAGTCCGCTTCCATCCTATGACTATTTTGAGTTCTTTCCAGCTGATCAAAGGTGGTATCCATTTTAACCAATAAACAAATAACTTACACTATATACACTTGCAATACGATACCAAATCTTATGGCTTTTTCCATTACATAAGAATGTTTTTGACTTCTCCCTCTTTCTCTTTGGCTCTTTCCACAGTCTTTATCCCCACCTGTTCTGCAGAGCATACATCAATTTTAAAAACCATGAAGATATCCTGCTCTTTAGGGACCGATTTGATGGTTATGTCTTCATTGACAACAAGGGTATTTCTTGATTTTGTTTTCTGTTTGACGTTGTTGCCAGTATGGTGGCGATAAAGGTGGTCACACAGTGCAACCCGTTCGGCTATATTAAATGCAAACAAAGATGTGTTTGTTTTACAGCTACAGGCTGAATTGTATGGACAGAGTGGTGGCTGTAGAGCTTTTGTTGCCATTGTTATTATTTGATAACTGGTCCCGGTAAATGATGGCCTCTTGTTTCAATATTTACTCAGGCCAGGAGTATCCTGCAGTGGTAGAGTTTGCCCCCTTCCAGAAGATTTCCAAGAAGAAGCTAAAAAAGAAAGATGCCAAAGCTGGGAGCATTGAAGAAGGTATTGAGCCATCATTAGAATCTATCCTGATTGTAGCGTAAACATTAGCTTACAAATATATTGCACCTTAATGGATTGAGGATGTACAGAAAGTCTATATACTTTTTGCATTTTCTGATGAGCCAACATATGTTGCTATAATTCACATTCATCTTGGCTTTGACATTCCCTCAGACCTGGAATATAAGCGGTTCTTGGAGAATTACTCCTGTGATGAGGAGAAGTCTATGGCCAACCCTGAGACTCTGCTGGGAGAGATAGAGGCCAAGACCAGAGAACTCATAGGTACAGTACAATATATACAGATGATTATTTTCCCGTGAATCATTACAGGTTTCAAGATTTAGACGTATTGTAAATTTACTTCTCTCCCTTTTTTTTCGGTTTCAGCCAAACGGACAACACCACTGTTAGAGTACATCAAGAATAAGAAAATTGAGAAACAGGTAAGAAAGGGGGGAAAAAATAAATATTTAAATGTAAAGAAAATACCTACAATGCTTTAAAATGTGGCACATCTCGTCTTACAGAGAATAAGAGAGGAGAAGAGAGAAGAGAGGAGAAGAAGAGAGCTTGAAAAGAAGCGGCAAAGGGAGGAGGAAAAGAGAAAGCGGCGAGAGGAGGAGAGACGCAAACGAAAAGACGCAGAGAAGCAGAAGAAATTGTCTGATAAAGATATCAAAATCAAGGTAACACTTAATCATTAAAAAAACATTTTGCAGTAACTTCTAACTAGTAAAATGTATTGTTGTTCTTTGGATGGTGTTGTAGCATAGTTATGGATTCTGTTGCCTCTTGCATTATCTGCATGCCGTAGCTCCTGAAGAAGAGTGACAGGGATGACGATGTGGATTCAGACCGAATAAAAGACAAGAGTGACATTGGGGAGACAGACAGAGGCAAATG